ACAATATTGGTATCTCTTGTGTTTGCCTTCTTTTTTTGTCTTTTTTTTCTCTTTTCTTTCCATCCATTTACTTTATGATTCGTCCTACAGCAATACACAAGCAAACGCTAACAAATACGTATAATGTGATGTTTTTCTCAATGATTGACTGTTGATCAATTGTTTTTCCTTTGTTACATTTATATTTCGACTATTTTAATAGAGAAAGCCTTTATTGTATTCTTATAAATCTGAAAATGGTACTTCGTGTCTTTTATATTTCTACAACTGGTCGTCGTGATATACGTAAACGACAAATTCATGTATTAAATGTACTTAGTTCTTGGAAATTTGAATATGAAGCAATTGATGTAGCTGCACCAGAAAATGAAGAACAACGTGATTTTGTTGTTGAAAATGGAAAAAAAACTGAAGATGACAAAATAATGTTACCACAAATTTTTAAAGAAGAAGAATGTTGTGGTGATTATTTGGATTTCTTACAAGCTATTGAACATGAAAAATTACAATTATTTCTTAAACAAATAACACAAGAAGAATTCGATGCACTTGAAAAAACTAAAACTGGTGAAACAAAAAAAGAAGAAGAAGAAGACGAAGAAACTGAGAAAAAGGAAGATGAAGAAGATACTGAGAATAAAGAAGATGAAGAAGATACTGAGAATAAAGAAGATGAAGACGAAACTGAAAAGAAAGAAGGTGAAGAAGGAGAAGAAACTGAAGATGGTGAAAAAGAAGAAAAAACAGGTGATGAAGATGAGGACGAAAATAAAGAAGAAGGTGATGAAACTACTAAAGGTAATTGATTTGACTGATTTATAGATTTTTTTTTATTTACATATTTTAGAAGACGGTGAAGCTGAAGACGAGGAAAAATCCAAAGCTGATGATGAAGAAGAAGCTGGTATGAGAATTAGGAAATTCATGATATATATATAAGTTTTGATTTTTAGAAGAAACCAAAGCTGATGAAGATGAAGAAAAAACTGCAGGTAACTTTCTGAACAATTTGATTTCTACTTACTTTATATTTTAGAAGATGAAAATGAAGATGAAGAGAAGAAAACAGATGAAACCGAAGAAACAACTAAAGACGAAGACGAAGAAGAAGAAGAAACTAAAAAGAAGAAAACGTCAGTTAGTGAAGAATCTAAAGAAAAATCTGCATCAAATCGTCGACGTCGTGGTTGGGATAAAGATGATGATGAAGAAAAGAAATCAGAGTCAACAACAGGTACTAAAAAAACATCAGATGAAGGTTTAAGAAATATTCTTTTCTGTTTTAGAAAAAGAAGAAAAAAAACCTGAACCAGCGAAAACTGGACGTCGTGCACGTGGTTGGGATACTGAAGATAAAGATGATGCTAAATCTAAAACGACAACATCAAAAGATAATGATGATAAATCTTCAAGAAAGACATCTAATGCAAGTGAAGGAAAATCATCAGAAGATGAATCAAAACGTAAAAATTCCGATGCAAAAGGTAAGAAAAAATCATCAACAACAACTACAGGTACTTTATTCACAGGTTATTCGAATACAATGTCAAGAAACTAATGTTTAGATAGATAAATACGTTTTCTAAAGAACAATAATAATATTAATTGAACAAATTTTTCAAGAGTTATTATCATCTTCTGTTTTTATATTTAGACAACAAAGCGGAAACAGCAGCATCAAGACGTCGACGTGGTTGGGATGAAGAAGATAAAAAAACTGAAGAAAGTACGAAAACGGACGAAACCAAGGATAAAGACGAAACTAAGGAAAAAGATAAAAAAGAAGAAACAGCAGCTTCAAGACGTCGTCGTGGTTGGGATGAAGACGATAAAAAAACTGAAGAAACCAAAGATAAAGAAGAAACTAAGGAAAAAGACAAAAAAGAAGAAACCGCATCATCAAGACGTCGACGTGGTTGGGACGAAGAAGATAAAAAAACTGAAGAAACTACGAAAACTGACGAAACTAAAGATAAAGACGAAACTAAGGAAAAGGACAAAAAAGAAGAAACTGCAGCATCAAGACGTCGTCGTGGATGGGATGAAGAAGATAAAAAAACTGAAGAAACTAAAGATAAAGAAGAAACCAAAGAAAAAGATAAAAAAGAAGAAACAGCATCTTCAAGACGTCGTCGTGGTTGGGATGAAGAAGATAAAAAAGCAGAGGAAACTGCGAAAACTGACGAAACCAAAGATAAAGACGAAATTAAGGAAAAAGATAAAAAAGAAGAAACAGCATCATCAAGACGTCGAC